AAAGATGCCTTCCAGAACAGCGGACTTTCCACTGCGAATCCATCAATCTCTCCATAGTACTGATTAGTGAACAGGAACTGGAAGTTGGTAGTGCTTGGCTTCAGCAGCCTGCTCAGGTTTGAAACCAGTAGATTGAGACACGAACTTTGAATAGTAGCAAAACAAGTGGTAAAATGAACAACTTCCGTTATTGTGACATTCGTAGAGAGTTACCATCACTTTGTCATGTACATTTTGGTCCATGAATTGCGTTTTGTCCCTTACTTGATAATGTGACGCGTGACCCGTACTCACTTCCCCTTCAAGTTTCCATCCCACAATCTTGTTTTGTTTGAACACCTGGTGATTTGATTTTCCTTTGAACTATGAACAGCACAGGATTTCGTGTTTTTTTTGTTGCCACGCCACAAGTCCGACAGAAACAGCCTATGGAGTTCCGAATGAAATGTACTGGGCATCCTGGGAACTGTCATTGTCCTTTGGCTTTATATGTTTTCCCTGCCCTTGTAGTCATCTGGGTTACCGATACTAAGTAACAAAATTCCTGTTTATGTATCTTTTTCTAAATAGAGCTAATCCTCGCATGGGGCTTGAGTGCCTTCATTCTGTTCGAGTCTTCATTGTTTCAGAAAGTTAGCATCAGCTGCATTAGATGGACACGTGGGCCTTTCAGGTCTAACGCCACCTCTGCCTATATTCCCTTCGAACTGATTATGCGAAACGCTGAGATTTGTTTCGAGATGCTTACCGAATTCGGAGTTTGTTCTGCTAATCTTTGGATCACAGGCGGCCGTTGTACATCATCTTTACGTAAAAAGCCTCAAATTATAGGCTTTTTTGCCTCAGTAAATTCCAATTGAGCATTCACCACAAACTCCGTCACGCGAACAAAAAACAGGTTCTTAAAATCCCTGTCGTAGTGTAGAAAATGGAATGTTCCATTTTCCTCGGCTACTAGTGATTCACCACGCTTGCTAACCTAGTTTTCGACACTTCATATAACGGCGTTTTCTCCTCTCACTGATGTGACCCCCATCCCATTTCAATCGTTGCTTGGGTGATTTGCTATTTCCTCTACCCTTAATTTCACAACTTGGGTTTTTGTTAGCCGACCGATCCGTAAGAAGAACTATTGTTCTTTGTGCACCACCTGAGTCCACTTTAATCGGCTCTCTTTGTCCTTCCTTGACCGGGTCATCAACCTTTGATGTGAAATGCACTGGATATGATTCTCTCTATTTTCTGCTTCTGTGTATGCATGCACGCGTTTTGCATGTTTGATTAGCTATCAGAAGCGCCGGGTTTTTTTTTTGAATTCTCACCGTTTGCTTTGGTGTTAAGAGTTCAACCTTAAACTAGTTGCGATCACTCTGGATAAGGACTCCACTGTTTACGGGTGGGAGGATTGTCACAGTGTATTAATCGCCCAGGCATTTGTTTTATTTCCTATTGTTTGTAGTCCGTTTTTAAACCGTAAGCAATGCGCTCATGATGCGTGTCGTTTCTACGCCACGGTTACTTCAACACAATGAGATTTCTCACGTAGCCTTAAGATTTATAAGCGCATGATCGGTCCTGATACTCCAGTCGTGTTTCCTTGGCTGATCTCTTCATCAGTGGTCTAATCGGATGTCACCCGCATGTAGTGCTTCTCACTTACATAAACCGAATACCGTAGTATTCTGATATCAGTTCACGATTTATCCATCACTTTTCATTTAGCGCAGTGTATCAGTGTACATCTGACCAAAAGCTGCAACATCGACGTGGTAGTCGGGTTTCGGTCTTACAATGATCAACAGGCTACAATGATCGAACGATCGTTCCTTTAAAACAAACAAATCTCAACAACCTAGGGTACGTCGTAGCTGTAGGTATCAGTGGCCTAGCACTGGTTTGGGTCTGAATCGCACTGAACACACGGACACGGAGAAAGCAGGACATCAGAGTTGGGTGATGATAAATGACCATTCATCCTGAAAGAGTACTTGTTTTATAGCCTAGGCGGACAAAAGTTCTCAAATGGTCCCTAATAAGACTGGTTGCATAGAAAATATGTCTCAAATCCTTTTGGACAAGGTAAAATATTCTACAATGGATGCACGTATATCCGACTGTGTAAGGTAGCTAAAACACAAAGGTCACATTACCAAGAAAAAGGTACGACCGACAAGTACGATGAACGCCTTGCATGTACGGGCTACGGGAGATTCGCAAACTGAGTCGCTGTTTGCCTTCCATTCTTGACATTGCAGCTGTGCACGCAAAGCCTACGCGCCGCCTTCGAGTTGGTCTCATGTATACACACTTTCCAAGTTGCATCCTCTTTTAATTGTTTGAAGTGCTGGAATCTATTTATGACTGTCCGATAATCCCGTGTTAGCTTACTCTTAACCGCTGACGATTTAAAAGGATTGTATTCGCTATACACGTTCACTATCCAATTTTCGTTCACCAATTCTTGGTACATAGTAGCGTTGAGGCGAGATACCTTAGTGATTAGAGCGCGAATTTACTGACTGGAAGGTTCGTGGTTCGAATCCGACCTCTGTCCCCTGTGTACGCCTGGGCAACCTGACAATATCCCAGCGCTCGTACGTGGCAGTTAGATACCGAAAGGGTGCTACAGCTGAACGATTTTTTACACAGTGGTGTTGGCTCTTCATTTGGCCCCAGTCTAGCGGACACTTTCATGGGTGAGGTTGAACAAGCTGTTGGCGTTCTACCGTTGATGTTGGTATTTCAACCGTGACTCAGCCGGATCGATGAGATCCCCGAAAGCTTCAAGTCGGCACATTCTTCACTTAGATTCATTGCGAGGGGTGAATTTAGTGACAGTTCCCACTTTATTGTTGCGTCGTGAAATAGAGGTCCGGACTGAAAAAACTCCTTTTGGTTAGTACACAAGCTTCCATAGTTTCGTTGACATGAGGTACAAACGAACTCTTGTTGGGTGTCTGTCAAACATGATCCACCAGTTCTACGAGCGCGATACCCTTGTGGAAGGATTAAGGTTAGTTACGAGGTATTGGTCTAGATTGGCTATCCGGAGAAGTGGGAACGAACTCAGAAACAGTTGGCGATAGGGCTCCGAGAGCTATCACGTCACCTAGCACTTAACGCAACACAATTCAGGGTCCGGTTCACTAGCACGCATCTGAGGAACACTGAAAGGTGGATTTCCGGCCCAGGATTCTTCAGTGTTAATCTATTTTGTTTAAGTTTTATTTTGCAAACTGTGTTGGCCGTACGATTTTGCATTTATCCCAGAGAATTTACCGTTCTACATTAGAACCGGAGGAGTCAGACACATGAATTGCAATTGCAATTGCAGACTACCCGATCGGTACGAGCTATCGGATCAACCCACTCCAATCATTTAATGTAATTTAGTCGCGATTGATCGTTCACAAGGTTATCCGAAAAGATGCAAAATCATCGACCGGACACCCAGCTATCTCTACTTGAAAGAGATTGAAAGACTCGTTTGTGTGCCAGCGGTTTCACTCTTTATTCCCTCTTCCTTGTAAACTTTCGGATGAGGTTTTATCCAAAGCACTGCTCGCAACCGTTGTCCTCCGAATCCAAGCAAGCCTTTTCGCTGAATTACGTGTATACTTACACATGTTTGTTGAATGATGACCTTTCGTTCCATGTGCACTAGTTCGTTCCTCTTAACCATATATAAAACACTTCAAGAATCCTCAACTGCTTGCTTCCCATTTCATCAGTTCAATGTTGTGTTGTCTTAGGCTGCAGGAACTCTGTACCAGCTGAAATAAGCATGAGTTCCAAGCCTTGTGGAGACATATTAGAGAGCTATTTCATCCACCAAATGTAAGAGGATATCTCATCTTCTTCCTAATTTTTAACTCCAGAATTTACATTTCAGGCTCAGAATCGTTGTCTTGGCGACTAATAAGTATTTTGTTCTTGTTCCACACTCCCCATCTTACGGCAAACTTCTTTCGCGAATAGAGGCTAGCGTAATTTCTGTTTGATGGGATTGTTTCTTTATGGGAGAAAGTAACTGATAATGCAGTTTTGGTCCTATGCATCGGAGAGACAAAAATCCGCATTTTTCTAACATTTTGTATACATGTGCTCGTATGCCTGACCTCGTCCGGGTTGTGTACTACAGGTATTCACAAATCTTGCCAAATCGTTAATTACGTGACGTAATTGTTTGTTTCCCTATTCCTCAGACTGATTCATTACCCTTCCGGTGACTGTTCAAGTTTCAAGACTGAACTATTCTATTTTATACAAAATCGATTCTATATCAATCGTTTTTCTATGGTCGATCTGTTCACATTCATTTCTGAGCTTGTTGTTGAAAATCTGTCCCACTTTGAACTGAGCAACATTTTTCCCGTTTAATTTGTCCGATAGCACACTACCCTTTCTATGCCATCCTGTCTTGCTAAGTGCCCAATGTTCAATATAGCCCTGAGCCTTTCTTTAATTCTCCTCACGATTTACTGATAATTTCTTATAGAATCACGGTCTACCTATCTATATTGTCTGCCCACGTCTAATTCAATATATTGTTCACTGCCTAATTGCGACTACTGAACAAACGCAAGTGAAGTTCGTAGAATTCGGTTTCACCGCAATTATTACTGACCGTCCGTCGGTGAATTAGACTACACGTTACCTGTCAGATAGGGCACCTAGATCGTGCGTTTAGGCTAATTACCCGATTCCTTTCTTTGAGATCATGCCCTTAGCATAGGATAGTACGTAACATATTTTACTATGGTGAGCTCCTGTCATCCAGCTCATTACGAGCAAGTAATCATCACAGCTAAAGTCGAATAAGAACCACAAGACAAGGTGAGTTCTAACGAACGCACATAATCGTGGCTTTGGCATCCGTCTTCTGCTGGTCAACTGAGGATACTTTTGTTTCCTCATGATAACTTTGCTTGTATCAGCAACCATACTTTATTTTCCTGCTTTCTACGTCACCTTACTTTCTCTCTGCCTTTCTCTGCTAGCTTCCAAACACCTCGTTACATTTATCCCAACCATCCACACAGTCCTGGCATTTCTACGCTGAACCTGAGCAGGGTAACGGCTCGGACAGTACACCATCCACGCGAGTTCCGGAGAAGCCTTCGAACACGACCGATGGGTCAGTCAGTACTTTGCAAAATTTCAACGCATACTTAGTTTTTTGTTGTCGAATGACTGCTACTCGATGGACCGATCTCTGCAGTTTTCAAGTTTACTTCCAATGTGTGCCAGTTGAACAACCGAACATGACTTGAGGGTGTTTGGTTGAGTGCTGTGAATCGTTCTGTTAGGCAGTCAGGTCATCGGATGCCCAGCATCCCATTCGTTTCTCCAACAGCTGGACATGTCCGATGAGGAGTGTGGGGAAACAAATCATGTGAAAACCAGAACAATCAATCAACTATAGATCTATTCCGCCGATGGTCCAGCACCCCCAAACCGCCTCGAACAATGATCTCATGGTAACCCAACTAAATCAGGTCACCAAGGTGTAAGGTTCTAGTAGAGCATAAGGCTGATGGAAACTCTGGGACTGCGCCTACCTGATGAGCCCCAAGAAGGGCGAAACCGGTCGTGGGTTGTCGAAGAGTTTTCAGTAACCTTGTGAGTAGTCTCCTTTATGAAAAAAAGGTGTAAGGTTCTTTATGCACGCACATCCCTCAGTCCGTTGACACTAATCTTGAACGAAATCTGGAGGAAGTGGATTTTTTGTCTCAGAATATCAGTTGGCCAACTAGCAGGCATGGTGGCATGGTCACTTACTGTCTGTGGGCTTTCCGCAATCAGCTGACCTGAAAACTCCATCTCGAGCTACGTGAGAAAATGCAGAGAATCAAGTGAAGTGCTTCTCTGGATCCCTTCAACTTTACTGTCTGATTGCTGAATGCTACCATCTTTATCGCTCAATATTGGCGTCTTTTTAGTACCTATGTGCCATATAGCTCTTAGAATATACAGGAACTGAGTTGCCACCTAAATCGCCTCGGCCTGTCAGTGGTTGGACTTTCGTATCCAGCGAGCTCTCCACCGTCACCTCGAGCTTCCACCTAGCACACCATACTCTCTACTGATCAGTCTCCAAGAAGTGTCAATCTTCACTCAGTCAAGCTTCGTGGGATTCTAATGCACCATTGGCTCTCGTGGTTGTCTATCTTTTGATTTGGGTTGCAACCGCTGTTACTGGTAGTTTGAGTTCAGGCTTTAGTCAGTTTTTTAGGTAGACAACCTGATCATCGACCACAGCACTCTTTTGCCCTTCACACTGACACAAATGTGCACCACAACGTTGAAGAAATCTTCATCTTATGACACGGCAATGGTGTGCTTCCTAGAAACACTGAAACTAGTCTAAGTACCCGCCCGCCCTGACGATTTGTCATTCTCGAGTTTGAATGAGTCATTTGTATCCAATCTTAGCCTTGATGAGAAGACACACACCAACAAGACAGTTTGAATTATCAGTTTCATAGCAAACATTCAGGTTATTGAATGTAAGAAAGCCCACACAAAGGATTCCAAGTCAACTCAAAACACCTAGGACCTTTCACTGAATGCTTTTGTTAAACAGGACTGCCAAACAGACCGTGAAAGTTTTAATTGAAGGTGTATTTCAGAAGGAAACTATACTAATCAGAACCATTCAAATGTTCTTGTCGTCTCTGCCGTATCACGAACTCCCCACATGCAGTGCTCCAGGATAGAGTATTTATTGTTGGTATACTCAATGTTCGCACAGTTGGGATCTGGTATCTCTTTCAGTGTTTGCCACTGATTCATAGGGAATATTTGTTACAATCTGACCAGCTGTGCCCTCCCCCCATCAGTAGTACAGCCTGTGAATTCATACTGTTTATGCCTGGCTGACGTAATCCCGTACCTAGGTGTCATCGCTCCCAGAACTTTAGATAACACGCGTAATGTGCTGCAATATGCCTTTCTACCTCCGCGAATTAACAGCCGTTGTCTCGAATGAGGGGCAGGGGTCGTCTTTTTACGAAAACCATAAATGCGGCGAGCCACTCGACCTAGATTGATGAACTCGGTTTATTACTCCGCCACGTGATTTGTTAGGTATGTAAAGCGGCAGCTTTTTGTTAGCTTTGGCGAAAAGATCAGTGTAAACACAACTAAAGCACAATCCTAGCTGGTATGAACTTCAGTCACAAATTCATGATTGTGAATACCACTCAACCATCAGTCAAACTGATAAGTCAAGTCAATCAATTTAGGAGTAAATTCCCATGAGCATTACACTGGAGATTGAAGTTCACGTTTGCTTCCCCACGATGTATCAAATAATACCATTTTTGTTGTTCAATAAAGAGTACAATCTCTTCGAAACCGTTACCTAATGTCTGCAGTGCACTGGCTAACTAACCAACTGTCGCAGAATTCAAAGTTCCCTCTGGATTTGTATCCTAACCTTTTGAGAGTAATGTAACTGTGATTTCGTCAATCTGTCTGCTTCCTTTGAAGTCGGATTTGTTCGATTTTTCTGTTCCACTTCCTCTAATCAGCCCAGCTGAACGTCATCATTGACACCAATTTCTTTCCGCACTTCAGTTGTCGTCTGATCGAAACACGCAATCCTACAAAATAGTTTAGTGAACTGTTAAAGAACAGAATGGAAACCACGGTCATGCGACTAGCAGTTTCATCCACATACTAATGTGGATTCAATTCTCATTGTACAATTACTTACTTACTTAGTTGCAGGTCAGGGTAAAGCAAGGACGTAAATATTTCACTTTCAAGCCACTTTGAGGGTACTTGCTAGTTTTCTAATTAATTTTGGTAGATATATTGCGTTCTGTACTTCAGTTAAAGCAAAGTCACAGAAACCAATACGGTGTCTGAACGAAGCCACCTTCTGGAAACCCCTTTTTCTTTGAAGCTAATTATTAATTTCATAGTTTGTTTTTCTAAACTGGACACCATATGTAACAGTGAGCCACACACTCTCTTGACTGCCCTACCCCGCTTTGGTAAAGCACGCGGTCTTGTTCTTTCCAACGATCTTGAGCTAGTTCTGTGGTGAAGGCGGGAACTTTCTGACCGGTAGGTCCATGGTTCGAATCCAACCCTGGCATCTCGACCGCTCCTGTCTAGTCTTGGGCAATGTGGCAGTATCTCAGCCATTCTGCTTCCTTGGGGTGAATCTATTACTTGGAGAATGCATGTCAAAAAAACGAACCGCTAGTCTGATCTGTTTGCCTGCATTTAAGAGAAGACCTCACCCAGACAATTGGGAAGAGTCGATGATTGTGCCCGTTTTCAAAAAACGGGGCTCGGAATGTGTGTGATAACCACAGGGGATCAGTCTTACTGCGAGACTGCTGCGGTCACTTCAACGGCGGCTCCTCAAACACTGATTCGAGGTACGCAAGCGAGGATTCGACCTGGTAGGGGTTGCGTTGACCAAATCTCCACACCCTGTCAGGTGCTAGAACAACGTCATACGTGCAAACGATCCACAATTTTGGTGTTCTTGCATTTCCAAGACTCATTCGACCCTGTCGACAGGTCTGTTCTCCTTGGTACGCTTATCCAGTAAGGAATGCTCCGGAAGTTTGTGAACATAATAATCTCTTCGTATTCTCAGACTTCCTCACTAGTGCGAGCATACGGGGAGCCTTCCAAAAGCTTCCGTACACAGGGAGGTGATCGTCAGGGGTGTTCACTCTCTGCGCTCCTATTTAATTTCGCGATCGATGAGATAATGGGACGAACGCTGAAGGGTCTTCAAAACCCCGTTGTTCAAGTAGGCTCTGACGGAAACCTTGTCGATCTGGAATATGCAGATAATATCGTCCTCGTTTTCGAAGAGAAGACGGCGCATGCGTTTTTGGATGAACTGATCAAAGTCATCCTGTCCTTTGGTAGGCACTTTTCACCCACAATGTGTGAAGTTACGCTCGTGGACATGCCACACACAACCATCGTTTGCTCAAGAGAGTGCTATTTTCTGTGCCCGTTTCATAATGGCAGAAGCAGAGAGGTGATCAAACCTTGAGCTGGCACAGGGATGTGAAAGAGAGTACGGAAGGTTTGGGTGCTGGGTTCAACTGGTCTTCCAAGATGGGGACTGTGTGATCCCTATTGCGCCTGGTTGAAGGCGCTACAAAATATGCTGCTAATCTATGTCAGTGGCGTTCTTGTTGTCAGTTTCTATCCCGATTGCCTGAATGAATGTCAGGAGGTGTAGGCACCTCGGAATGACTGTAGTAAGCCAACACTCAGTCCACTTCCCCGTTCATCTTTATTCTTTTCTTCACAATAAAGCCTTCAACTAAATCACGGCAGCGGAGCATCTGTGTTGAACACTGATGTCGTGCTGCCGATGATGGTTATGCCAGTGATAATTAACCTTAATTTGGAGTCATCCAGTTGTCGTGATTTCCAATAGGCAGTCAGTGTGACTGCTTCACTGTGCCTGGTCGGAGACACTACAAGGTATGGCTGCCGACCGATGTCAGTGGCGTTCTTGTTGTCAGTTTCTATCCAGATTGCCTGAGTGAATGTCTGGAGGTGTAGGCACCTCGGAATGATTGTGTTAAGCTAGCACTAAGTCCCTCCCCCATCCACCTTTATTCTTTTCTTTACAATAAGGCTTTCAAATAAGTCATGGTTGTACGGCAGTGAAGTATCGGTGTTGAACACTGACGTCATGCTGTCGATGATGATGATAATGATGTAACTTTTAACTGCATGCGTACCGTTGATTTGCGTCTGTGATTCAGTATTTATTCGAACCGCGATAATTTGTAGGAGATGTGGATGAGTCCAACACTAGGTCTATCCTTGTTCCATTGTCGCGTTTTATTTGGCATTTTTGATACCAACTTTGTTCCAACCCGGTCTAATAATGATGGTTTATTTGCTGTTGGGTAACATATACGTTCCCTTGGCATGCAATGTTTCGCACTGTTTTTGTTTAAAGTTTCGTCGAAGAGTACTTACGGATTATGATGATAATTTCGTATCTAAATGTAAAAGATAAAAATAAGTCGCTCAGCTGTAGCACCCTTTCGGTGCCTAACTGCCATGCCGCCCGAAGGTTGCACGAGGGCTGGGATACTGCCAGGTTGCCCAAACATAGACAGGGGAGTCAAGAGGCAGAGGTCGGGTTCGAACTACGAACCTTCTGGTCAGTAAATGCGCGCTCTAACCACTTGGGCCATCTGACTGCAGGATCTTTGTCATCAAGTGCAGCGATCCTTCCGTACTCACGGGAAACGGCCGAATTCGGGATGATCTTGTTTGGAGGTAGCCACTTTTATCAATCATTCCCACAAGCATAACTATACGTGTTGCCTTCTGACATTCCGAGTCTGGTGAATAGTACGCTCTCTTTTAACTGTAAGGCCGCTACCTGGTCGAGGCCACCGTTATCACTCAGAAATACTTGTTAAAGCAAAAGATAGGAAACTGAATTCTTAAACGGCTGCTCCTCTATAAACGCTGGGAGGAAGAACACGACAAGTTCGCTCCTGCTTCCAGTTTTGTACTTGATCTAGCTTCACATATTTTTACCGAAGTCACGTTTCCAGTGCATGATAAAGTCACTGTTGTATTTTGCGCGGTGGCCGAGCTATTGGTTACGCCTGCACTGAGCCTGCCAGACTACGTGATAGGGAGAAGACAGAGAACTGCGGACACGGCTGTATTGCCAGGACAAAGCATACAGAGCGTCTGCGTAAATATATAGGATGACTAATAGGCCAAATATGGTCGTTCACTTGTTCGCTCCATACAGCCAATGGTGGTGTTCCGGTCGTGAACAATCTCAGGCCCACTACGCTGGTCGTGTGTTGCTAGGCCGTGTTTGGTTAGGAGCCGCCGACTCACCTACTTTCCCGACGTGTCGAACCGATGATGACCTTGGGGATGCGTCACTCTGCGCACATGTGCGTTTTCTTTTCTGGGCGTGCCCTGACGCATACTGAGAGAGCATTATTGCAACAACATGTTCTTCGATTGGCAGTAGCTTACACGGTGTAATTTGCACATAGGCTGCAATCGTGATTTGTTCCTGAACTGTACCCAAATTGTTTGAGCATTGATCACTGATAGCTTCCGGTGGACTGAACTACCCGGTCTTCCTACTTTACAGCCAATGGCACTATCAATTATCGGTTAACCCTGTACGCCATGATAAGAATTTCGGCAGAATTGACAGTGGGCTTGAAACGTGAACAAAGAAGCACGTGCCCAAGAACTTCGTACCATGTCAGCTTATCCTAACCCAAAGCCGACCGAACCAGGGTCAAGTCGTCAATCGCTAGACGTTTACTAGACACAGGTCACACAGTTGGACTCAGCCCACCGCCCCGGGGTCTTAGCGCAGAGCAAGCGGTCACGGGGATTAAAGCTCCTTGGCGCCATATTAGACCTAAAGATCAATCGGATAATTACTTGGTTTTATTGATCGGTAACGTTGTTTTTAGAATTTTGTAAGTTTTATAAGCTGCGTCGGATTATGTGCCTTGTGTTATTTCATATGTTGTAGTTTTACGCGTTGACCGATCAGTCATTCAGGCGTCTTTTTGATTTTCATGGAACACGAAAATACGGTTTACCTCCCCAAGAGGCCCGGCAACACTGATATCTTTACAGAAGGACTTGATCGTACTACTACTTCTCAAGCGGATCCTTGTTATTATCTCAGTGGTAAACCCCCTTGAAGTGACCAGTTTTATTCACTCCTTTAAAGTGACCTACCCAGAATGACACCATTGAATCTTCAACTGGCAATCAGAAGTAAGGTACGGTTTTTTGTGTAAATTCTTCCTAAGTATCGTCAATATGTGCTTCATTGCTGACATTCTAGAATTTACCGGAACGTCAAGGTGGACGTAATATAGCGTTATCGGCTGAATTGTGACAGTTTCGGAAAGTTTTCTTCTTACGTCCATATTTTTGAAACATGTATACGGGTAAAGTGATGAGGATTGGCATACAATTTGAAGGCGTTTATGTGGGGTCATGTCTAAAGTCGTTATAAAATGTTAGCGACCTACACTCATTTGCAAACAAATTCGGTTTTGCGGGAGACACCTGGGACCCAGCTGAGCCTCTCGTTTATGATGTTTTTAAGCAACCGAATGTGCTGCCTCAGGTCGCCTCATGTTTCATTTGGTACGATATTCGAGATATCGCGGAAACTCGAGGACTGCGCGTATCTGATGGGTCCCAAGAAAGACGAAACCGGTCCTGGGCTTTCGAAGAGTTTTCAGCAACTTTATGAGTATTGTATTACGTCGTTGAATGTTATTCCGGGACACGAGGTTTGCCTCTTCATCGTTTTTAGGAGGTCTTCACGTCGGCGGCACACGTAGAATGGCTTTTAATAAGATTTGGGAAGTTGTCCCTATTGATGTGTCGATTCCAATCCAAGTCTAATGGAACCGTACCGTAGTGGTCTCTGCGGTAATTTATCGAAGGGTGGTCACTTTATTCGCTGTGTACTAAACAAGTCGTTATTAGAAGCTACTTTTCACCTTGTCCGATCCTGCAGACTTGCAAAACTTGCAAGTCACTGTGTGGGATCGAAGTTCGTGCTTCTAGCTATCACGGATGTCTTCCTTCTTCTATATTACTCTTAAGTGCTTAACCAACAAGGTTAACGTTTCTTTGTCTCCTCGCGACACTTATGTGGAAAAATCAGTGACCAAGTTCGAATGCTGTGCACCCTTGGACTGGAGATCCCCCAGTGAGATTGCGGTTCTTCCTGTGCGGACTTGATTAACCAGGCAGTTTCTGAGTTTTCGTGCTTCCCATATGTTATATGGTGGCTTTGCGACGAGAAGGGGCCACGGACAAACAATCTGATCAGTTTACCCATTTTTGGCTTGTTTTTTTTTACTGTTGAACTAGTAAGATACTCCTAACCTCCGCTATTTGATGGTAATACTTCCCAGTCCGGTTAACCACTTGTCGCTGTCTCGAGGTAAAACGCACATTGGTTCATTGATTGTACTGCTGCCTAGTGATTGACAATTGGATGCCTTTTTTATTGCCAACGGGATAACCCCTAAATTCACCGCACTCCGGCTTTCTATTTTCTGCTTCCATGTTGCCTGTCTTTTCAATGCCTCATATCTACTTCAACCGTTCTGATCCCATTTTGTTTAGCAAAGCCACTGCCGTTAAACGGAAAGGTCTAATGGCCCTTCACAGTTCATCTGGGGAAATGAGTGGGCCGACATTGAAATTATCGACCTTCCATACGATCTTTGGGAACGAGACATCTCATGGGACGGTCATTACCACAAGTGGAGATGACGCATTCTGCGAGACCGTGCAACTTCTCAATCTTCCAAGTCTTCCTCCTGGACGTCTACCGAAAGATGCTGTTTTCAGCATCCCATTGGATGTAAGCATTCGCTACTCTTCGAGTTGATCTTACTGAATTATGAATTTCGCGCGCATTTCATACTACTGCGATATGTATAAGTAACTGATGAAAAACATTGACGTTTGATGTTTGCAACTGCAGTGAGCACATGCGTCAGCCGAACTTTGTGTGCATGTTCAAGGACACCGCACACCTTAAGTAGTTTGACTGGGTGTGAGGGACGCAGTGACTGCCAATTCTCACTAGCTGGGTTATAGGCACGCAAAAAATCACAGCTTTCAGCTTGAGGTGACCTGTAAATGGGTGTGATTCGACAGTTACCTGACTTGGGGTGTTTGTCCGGTACAGGCTACGGCCCCATGATACAACCTACCGAATCAGCGTCTACCGACACCGTTTCTTATGGTGCAGACGAACAGCTGCACCACTTGTAACTTTCCGAAGAGAGTGCGAACATTTCGATCGCCCTGGATGTGTCTGTCTGGCCGAGTGCGTGAGTTTTGAGAACACCGAAAGTAAAGCTGTAATTAAAGTACTTACTTACAGGCTTCACTTACAGGACGAAATCTCTAAGAGATATTACCAGCTCTCTTCACACCACCATTAGTCTATAAGTAGCTCAGATGTTTCACAAGATGTGTGAAACCTGCATCTGAAATTCGTCACTCAAGGAACCAGTCAATACGTGATCACGCGGTGTGGTAAGTGAAGGATGAGTGACGCAATAAGTGTGAGTTATTCACAACGCTGATCAGCCACTTGTGACCAAACAGTTAAATGTTCCAACTACTGTCCGGGAGTTCGTGAGTTCGGGTTACGTGAGGTATGTACTGCTGATGCTTCCCAACGTGGATGAAGCTGATTTAATTTACTTCCAAGCTTTTCGGCGTAGATTGGTTTCACTTATTCCTTTTGACTTTCATAGATCTTTGCATTATCTCGCATCGTTGTATGGTAGTGAAGTACTGTGAACGATGCTTGTCAGCCTACCACGTTACCAGTAGCATGGATCAGGCTAACAACATCCGACTCCCATCAAACAATTTCTACTTCTTTGATTCCAGCTCATTTACGGTGGTGCTGAGGAAATGTGTTGGGAAATGCATCGCGCCATGCGGCTGGGTAACTTTTGGCCCCCCTTCAAATCAGAAACGCAGAACGGGACTTCCCAGGACTGGGATGAAGAGGAACAACATATTTTACAGGAGATCGAATCAATAACGAAACAGCAAGAGGGAGACACAGGATCCAAGGTGTTCCAGTCGGAGCAGACAAATATCGGGTCGAGTATGTGCTGTTCTCACAACCTGTTCTCCGCTGTAACTCATCACAGTTTTTTGGCATATGTGTAAACGTTTGTGGAACGCTCAGTCCGCAGTTGTGTGTTCCCTTCTTTTGGGTTGTTGACAGTCACTGGTTCATTACTGGACTAATCAGCGATTAAAACGGTAGGAGAGAACATGGATCAATCAGGGACATATATTGCCATGTCTTCTGCAGCCGTCTGTCCACAAAGGATGCCCAATAAGTCTTTCTGTGAGTGATGACGGACTGAGTGTAACTACTGTTAGTTGATCAGGTGGCTGTTTATCTGTTCGCTGAGCTTAGCAATTGACTTGCAGATGTTTCTTCGCCATTCGAGGAAACATCTTCGGTAAGCTGTAGGATGGGTGGGTGTAACTATGGCATTCATTCTATGAACTGGGACCGTGTGTTGAGAGAGATCTTTCTTTCACCTCTGATGCTAGGTATAGCCCACTTCTGTTAGGTATCAACTGCAAATGGTCTCCTTTAGATCGTTTTCACATCATGTTCTTCTATTCTCCTTCCAGATCGTGTTTCACTCATTAAAGCCCTTGAAACAATCGCACTCCGATAGAGGAATTCACCGTCCTCGACCATATTCCACACAGTGTTTTCCCGCTTCAATTTGTATTTTCCTATTCACCCTCATTCACCTGTTCTCAGAACAAGCTCACGTACGTTTTCATTTGATTGGTTGGTGTAAAAAAAGAGGGCTGGGCTGTGGGTAACTGGCAATAGTCTGAGCAGACTGCAACTGATAATTATATCATTGACCCACGTATCTTGTGACAACGACCACTTGATTCTTGTTGTTCATCTGTCTTGACGCTCCATTCGTCTACGCCTCTCAGGTTGCTTTTCTCGGTCTTGCAGACATCCTTAACTGCTTTTCGGATGGCAGTGTAACCATCTCTCGGTTAAACGGAACATAGCGCCATTGGTCCTTCAATCACTGAAACCACATCACGTGGTCTCGTACTGACTGGCCCCTTGAATGCTTATTTCTCGGCTGAGATTGGTTTCACTAACCGTATGGGATCTTTATTGGAAATCACCACATCCCTTCACGCCACCATCACGCCATAAGTAGATCAGAGGAAGGACAGTTTCACACGAGTGAAACTTTTATGCGAAAAGTCATCATTGGATGATCCGGTCAATACGTGATCACGTTGCTCTGGTTGAAGAATGAACGACGCTGTATACTATCTGACTGCGAGCTATATTCATTGTTTATCGGCTTCTCGTGGCCGAACGGCCAAATGTCGAACGAATGACTGGAAGGGTGCACTTCCGAAGGTCTCTGAGTTTCACACTACTGATAATTCCCAATAAGGATGAGACAGCTTTTCGACTTTGAAGCACAGCCTAACCTCACCGACAGGACGAAATTTCCATTGAAAATTACTAAATCACCTCATACCATTAGACAATACTTTGTCTGCGTCAACTAACTTGTTGTAAGAAGAGGTCTCGGATTTACTCCGATCCTATCGTTGAGTGAGAAGAACGATAGTGGCGAGCTAAGCGAGCTCTCTGTGTTCAAACCTTTTGCCTAATACACTATAAATTTACATGATGCTAGAAATCACGCGCGGAGGTTATGTGGAAATCACAACCACATACTCGAATAAAAGAGGTGGGTTGAATGAGAGGCACACGGGTCAATGGGTCAAGCAAGTGACATCACTGTCAGACAAGTTTGTGGAGCCCCATTATTCGCAGGCCAGCGCAAGTTCAGATGTTGTGCAAGTTTCTCTTAGACACAAAGTTGTGGGTCGTATTACCGGATTTCATTCATGTCTGCGATCGATAGTACCCTGGATAGTATAGACAGCGATCGGTTCAGGGTTATACGACATCGAATGCGAACGTATACAACATGACTGGTTCCGGTCATGTGATACAATTACACTTGTACCCGGTTTCTTCCAACTATCGTTCACGGACTCGGATTCGTATTCTATCCGACGGACACGTCATACGGTCAACGTATGGTACCTGACACGAGCGTCAAACTTGGCACACAGAAACCGGTGGTAGAACTTGATGATTCGTGCTCCAAACAAAACCTCATAGTTGAACTGGAACTGAAACTCAAATGCAGATCAGCGGCCAAGCTGTCAACAAGATGTCTAGGCTTACGTGAACGAGAGTCACCTTTAATGTAAGTTTCACGTAAACGCGCTTCTTCCCAGTAAACACTGTTTAGTTTTGTGCTTCGCATACTGCACGGTTTTGATTACGTTCCGTACAGGATATCTATGCTCTAAGAATGTGCTTAGACGTAATACACTACTCATAAGGTTGCTGAAAACCCTTGGACAGCTCACGACCGGTTTTGTCCTTCTTGGGGCTCATCAGGTAGGCGCAAACTATGAGTTTCCATCAACCTTGTGTTCTACTTGAACCCTAATTGCACAGACTTCGAAAAATACACTCATTTGCATATCAGTTTTGTTTTGACGGAGACTCACCTGGAACTCAGCTGAATCTCTGGTTTTCCTAAGCAACTGGATGTCCTGCACCAAGTCGACTTGTGTCAGTTGGTACGATATTCGAGATATCGCAATGCATTATATAGACGTAACATGTTACTCATAGGATTGCTGAAAACTCTTGGATAACCTTGATCGGATTTTCCCTTGCCAGGGCTCATCAGGTAGGCGCAGTCCCCGAGCTTAAGAAAATCTTGAACGACAGACCCAGCTGAGTTACAGATGAGTCTCTCGTCAAAACCGTATATGCACTTGAGTGTGTCTGTGGAGAACTTTTATTCCTCTTGCAAGCAGTTGGAAGAGCATATCTTCATTGCTGCCTTAGGCAGACATGTAAGCAAGTTGCACTTGTGTTGCAACAGAACGAATTCATATATTAGGATGCCCAGGTTTGCCTTATGTGGTTCTATATTTCCGTCGGTCTTCTTTCGAATCGAAGAAACTTTAATTTACTTCCTGTACTGGCTCGTAAACAAGTGTGATATTAGTATGAACTAAGTCGAAACTGCTCAACACATCTTTTTCGTCGGCCAGAACGGAAATATCACCCACGTTGCGGATATGTACTGCAAACTGCGCAATCAGTGCGCCTAGTTTTGGAGTCTCAAGTTTCGTTGTTGGTGCACCAAAAAGCTAAGCCTTCCCTCACGTCAACATTCAGGCAGTTTACGATACCGAAGTTTGGTGCATTTATCGGTGTAACTGGGCGGCTAATATAAACGAGGGTGGGAAGTTGCATGAGCGGCTACTGGCGTTGATTGTTTGTCCTAATGTTCAGTCCATTCGGTGAATCCCGAAGCCCATTTAGCACAGAGACTATAAATCATAAACAGAGAGCTGGCCTCCATACAGGATACCCAGTGATTCCCGTTATGCCTTCGATATCGCATCTCACTGGTTTCTTTTTTAGACGCTTGACCAAAGTCCTCCTCTGGTGGTACCTCTTGCTCAGCGTCCGGCTCATCACTTCTCTTACCCTGATGAACCTTCGGTCACTTAAAATGAACAACGTTGCCTTAGGTCGAGCTGATTTTAAATCATCTTATTATATAGAATGCCTCCCTGACAACATTCCACTGCGTATGCCATGCTTCCATTCTAGTTAGAGTCTCGATGGGATTTTTAGATCGTCTGCGTTGATGCCGAGTCAAAAAATACCCTGAGCAATAGCAGAGTTTCAGATGTGCCATGCCCTTTATCACCTGATGGGTGTGGTCCTATCGATTATCTGCAGACTCGAATGTCATCGCGTTCAAGCCCGGACTCGGATAATAGGTGTAGGTTTCGTCGGAAGAAGTGAATTCTGATCTGGGTCTTCTCAGCCCGTATGTAACTTCTCCGTTACCTAGCTCGGTTGTTTGGCTGACTGAGGTGTTCTGTTTTTGGAATTCAATAGATCCCTTTTGGGTCACTAAAACGTGGTGTTTATGGTATATGAGGCTGATCGAGTTGAACAAGCTGTATTGGTAGAGTGCGGTAACACTGATAAAGGCATAAGACACGATAATTGCCCATCCAAAGAACGCGGTAGCTTGCTGATCAAAAGGGCCATAACGTTTACGTAGGATTAACGTTCCATCCTCAGTTTCACCTTACAGAAGAAGTCCCAGTTTGACGTTGTGATGATGCTCAGGCCTAGTTGTATTCCCAACTAACCGCACCTGGCGTTTTCACGTTTCCAACACAATCATCGTAGGAGCGTGCTGCCCGTACTTGCCATCCACTTGTAAACCAATCAGCCAGTGGGTAGCAGTGAGAGTTTTCCCGGAACGAGGGCTGATGCATTTGGTCCCCGCTGGAAGATCACCCAATGGGCGTAATTCCCCATTTCACTCTCAACTTGTCTTAGGATTGTTGCATCTGTCTACACAGTTTAGATATTTTTAATAGCAGCTCAGTCCAGGTCATCACTACAACTTTCTCGCAACGCCGGTCTCGAACTGCATTGTAATGCAACTACCAGTACGAGGCTGACTGGTCTCACTTGCACTCTTTCTGTCTGCAGTGTATCTCAAGATGGCTGCTGAATTATGAATTTTAATCAGCTAATCACCGGAGTAGCACGTTGTTCAAGGTTAAGGTAACTACCACTTCGTGTCTCATCTTGCTCGGTTACAGGTCCGAAACAAGGCGGCTAGTATGTAGTGGTTAACGGCCCTATGGAGTCTCTAGTGAACAGAACAAATTACTAACGTAAGCAAGTCACAAGGAGAAAAATCCAAGTAAATCTTGACTCAGTTCAAAATAGGAGATTCCTTATTCCGTTGAAACACCACACCAAGAATAGTTCTATCTTCCTGGTATTCCAGATCTCCGGTGATCGAAATAATAATCCACAAGTGTGAATATATTAGTCCAGTGTTTGTAGCTGAAATGTTTGTTCACGTTTATTGTTAGTAGCAGTCAATTATAGTCAACCGGTGGTCACAACAACAGTCACTCAGCCAAAGTCTCAAAGTCACGTTGGAGCCAACACGCGGGCGGTAGCGGTCGTATTTCAGTAAAACAAACTTTTGTACAGCGATGTGACTGATAATGATGGGGAAAAAGAAGATGATACTGAGTATGAAAAAGAGCAGTTTACAAGTGCTACAAGTACTTGGTAGCCAGTTGACCGGAATCGTTCGTATATCGTGAATTGAGGGGAGGAGAATAACCGGCTTATAACCACGTTACCCCACGACTTGCTAACTCATCTGTCTTACCAGACAGTTAACGCTCATCTTTACCTCGGAAATGCTGTTTGTGTGTGAGAACCGGCACACCACCTCGACAGGCCATCTCTACCACGCCAGTTAGAATGATAAGAAAAAAAAAAGAATGAGACCAGGTTTCCCACCCGATAGGCTTCATTGAACACTGTTTTTGCAAAAATTTACAGGCGCACACCAGAACCGGCGATAAATGTTGAGAGATCACTTGTATCCAATACTTACGAAACTTCATTGGAGTTGGCATATTTTCCTTTGAATGCCAGTCATACTGAAGAAATCAACTTAGTGCTGACGAAGTTAGTGCGTTTCTTAAGAGACATCTCCCAACATTACGGGACACTGTGGTGCTTCTCGTCTGTGGAGGAAACTTGTTAGGTGACTGTTAAATCTGCTGATTCGCCATTCTGAGGTATCTGCTGCTGACCCGCTCCAGTGCCTAGTTGCCGAGACAGAAAAAGACTC